TCTTTCGCTTACTATGATAAATTTCAGTTTATAAGAGCTATTATCATAAAAATTATCATCTGCGGTATGCACAGGTTGGCCTCTGTTGCAAATATGTGCGCTAAATAAAAAATTATATCTTTAAACTATTTACTCCATGAAATGATTAATTATTATATTACAATGATTAATGAATGATTACAGACCTATGTCCTTATTTATTAAGCGCACTAAAGTCACAAACTTGCTAAATTGCTTTATTTTGTTCTTAACATATTTTTTCAGTTGAGCATCTCGTTGAAATTCTTCAAAGAATTACAAGAACATGGCGCTGATGCTGTGAGTTTTGCTTCTCAATGTTGACCAAATAAGAAGTTTAGAAGGATGATTCAGCTTTTGCGTCGGGAATATGGCTCATATTTGACAACTCCTGAACCTGGGTACAATGTATCCTTACTTTTTGATCTTACTGCCCTTCCAGCTGATTGTTCTGAATTGAGTGAGCATCTTTGTGTAATGTTTTCGTTTGATTTTCTAAATCATAGTCACTTCTTTTCTGAATTAGATTTTTTAAAAACTGACCACACTTTATAGTTCGCAAAGCTTCAATGCTGAAGAGGAATTGTTTTGCTTCTGTGTTCGAGAAGTATTTCGAGTTCCAAGAGACTGGTCAGGAAGGGCAAAAAAGAGCTGTGATCAACTATAGAGAGGATGAAACTATGTGAGTAAAGTAACTAGAGAATTGCAGTGTTAAGTAATAATTGTCATCTTATTTTTTTTAGGTATATAGAAGCTAAAGCTGACAGAGTCACAGTCATATTTAGCACAATTTTCAAGGACCCCGATGACGTTATCATTGGCAAAGTATTTTTGCAGGTAGGTATACTGTTGATGGAGCTTCCTTTTGTCTTCTTATATCTCTTACATATTGTGACTACGACTTGATTTTCTAGGAGTTCCGTGAGGGGCGCAAGGCGAGTCAGACTGCACCAGCAGTGCTATACTCGCTAGGTGAACCACCGCTTGAATTGCGAGATCAGCCAGGCGCCAGGGTTGGTGAAAATGTTGGCTACATCACGTTTGGTACGTTATCACTCTCTTAGCAATAATTCATTGAGTAAACAACAAATTACAGTTCTGTTCCCTCGACATACCAACAAAAATGCCCGCGATAATACTATAGATCTGATACATACTTTCCGAGATTATCTCCATTATCACATCAAGTGCTCAAAGGTATTCTTACTTTAAGCCCAGCTCTCTGTACCTTCGAAATATAAGGTGTGTTTTAGGTGTATATGCACTCAAGAATGCGATCCAAGACCAATGACTTCCTCAAGGTGCTGAATCGCGCTCGTCCAGAAGTTAAGCTGGAGAAGAAAACTTTCAGGTATCAGTTCTATACAGTCGCATAGATCTCATTGTACAGATA